GCCCAACCCCCTGCCCAAGCAGGGTCACCCACAGCAGGCTGCACAGCACCGCGTCCAGGCGGGGCTGGAATATCTCCAGAGAAGGAGACTCCACAGCCTCCCTGGGCAGCCTGGGCCAGGGCTCCGGCACCCTCAGAGGGAAGAAGTTCTTCCTCATCTTCAGTCCCATCCAACCTGGCCTTGAATGTTTCCAGGGATGGGGCATCGACCACCTCTCCGGGCAACTTGGTCCAGTGTCTCATACTCCTCATCCTAAAAAATTTCTTCCTTATATCCAGCCTAAATCTCGCCTCTTTTAGTTCAAAGCCATTACTCCTTGTTCTATCACGACAGGACCTGCTGAAAGGTTTGTCCCCGTGTTTCTTATAAGCCCCCTTTAAGCACTGAAAGTCTGCTACAAGGTGTCCCCAGAGCCTTCTCTTCTCCAGGCTGAAGGTGATAATATTTAACAAACCCTCAGAGAAGAATCGATTATACCCATTCACACTCTCACATCCACAAATCGCCAGTGTGTTGGCCAGCTGGTCTGGCCAACATCACTTGCATCTCCCACACAGAGGACACGGGATGATGGCTGTCAGGCCCTTGCCACATCTTCCAGCTTCTTTCCTGGAGACAGCAAACCTGGTTTATAGGGTTTATAGATCTTTTATACCCTGTAGGCCTCAACAGCTTATTTGGCAGGACCCTTTGGCTTCAGTTTGGTTCAGTCTTCTCACCTTTTAGGTGAATCTCTTGGTCAACACCTCCATCTCCTCATTTTGAGTTTCTCAGGGCTGCCAAACTAGGAAGAGGAATGGCAGCAGTGATGTGCTGTCAACCTTCCTGCCACCCTCCTAGATTTTGGAGCAAGAGGTCTCCTCCTGCCAAGCTGCAGGGTTACCAGCATGACTGCTGACTGCTTTACAGCCAACAGTGTCACCGGTTAGAACATCAGCCTTGGTTTCAACTCTTGTTCTGTTGTTTCTTCTGGTGCTTACATATCCTTATTTCAGTCAAACTGTTCTTAATACTCCTCTTAAAAATCTCTACAGAACTGGCCAATAAGGCAGAGAAGCAAGAAAGAAATAAAGAGGGTTTTTTTTTTTTTTTAATAAAAGGAAGAAAAAGGGTTATTGGTGAGCAATGTGAGTTTAGAAGGCCAAGTATTCAAATAATAAATACTTCCACATCTCTGTACGCAAAGGTACACTGGTGAGAAATACCTATTGTAGATAGGTGTGGTGGCATAAGTAGATTTTTTGGAAAACAGGCAAGCATAGATACTAGCAAAAATGTTTACCAGAGACTGTCAAAATAGCTCAAGCTGTCTGCTGAAAGACAACAGCAAGATTCGTAAATTAAAGAGCTCTGTTATGAAAAGAGGAGGAAACATAAAAAACATGATTTGCTTGCAATTCATTTAGCTTTACAAAGGTTAACAAGGGTTAGAGTATCATCCCTCCTGCAGCTCCAATTATAATGCAATATTAAAGACCCCATAGCTTCACCATTCTACCCAACCTTTACCCACTGAGATTTCCTCAGCTTAAAACTAAACGAGAACATGTTGCAAAAGAAAATAATGGTAACATACGGCCACCCGCCCGGCTGCGTGCTGAACATCGACCCCAGAAGGAGCTCCACGAGTCCAGCAGCACCCCTGAATGTGAGGCACACCCCTGTCACCCAGAGTAGCCCAGTTTTTAAATGAAATGGAAACCAAAGCCAGCAGCCACACCCCATGCTACTCCACGGTGCCTGATGTGGTTTCAATGCACGGCCAGGTTCCCGGCCCCTCTGCAACCTGTGCACCTCAGAGAGCATCGGTGTGGCCAGTGCCCATGCTACGCCATAAATGAAGCTGCGCTGGAGTCCAGTAATCACACGGAATCACACAGAATGGTCGGGGTTGGAAGGGACCTCTGGGGGTCACCCAGCCCAACCCCATGCCCAAGCAGGGTCACCCAGAGCAGGCTGCACAGCACCGCGCGCAGGCGGGGCTGGAATATCTCCAGAGAAGGAGACTCCACAGCCTCCCTGGGCAGCCTGGGCCAGGGCTCCGTCACCCTCAGAGGGAAGAAGTTCTTCCTCATCTTCAGCTGGAGCTTCCTGTGCTTCAGTTTGTGCCCATTGCCCCTTGTCCTGTCGCTGGGCACCACTGGAAAGAGTCTGGCCCCGTCCTCCTGACCCCCACCCTGCAGATATTTAGAGGCATTTCCAAGGTCCCCTCTCAGCCTTCTCTTCTCCAGGCTATACAAGCCCAGCTCCCTCAGCCTTTCCTCCTAGGAGAGATGCTCCAGTCCGCTCCTCATCTTAGTAATCCAGCTCTTCACTCCAGTGCCCGTTCGAGGGACTGGCTTGACCTAAATCATCACAAATGTCAGCAACGAAACTGAGAATCTAAGCTCCCCGTTTCCCCGTACGGTTCCCCATGCACCTCAATGCCCAGCTGTTTCTTCCGGGAGCATGGCAGAGGAGCGTGTTTTGGATGGGATTACAACAAAGTGGAGAAGGTGGCTTCTAGAAGATGGAAACGTGCCACAACCTCACCAGCACAGAAAATATTTCAAAATTGCCTGCAGAATAGCAAAATGAAGCAAGACCCTCGAATGTGCCAACAGAAGGTCATTCTAAACACCCATTTTCCAGGACAAGGTCTCTTTTTGTGCCCATTACACTCAAACAATTGAGATGTATCTGAGTTTTGGACTTCGAGGTGGCCTATATCTCAAAGGCAGTTTTACCAACTGACTTCAGGCTTTGCAGAAAGCGTGTTCATTGCTTCTACTTAGCGTGCAAATTTTCAGCCAACTCTAACTCATTAACATCAGAGGGGGCTATCGGATAGTACTTATTTATGGTCTAACTTGGATTCAATTGTAATTATGAAATGCACCCTAGAGTGTTAAAAATGCAAGCGCTTCAACAGCTTCCCCTACAGAGAGCGGAGACGAATCCTGCTGCTCCAACACACTGGTTATTTAGTGAGTTCTAGTGACTGTGAAATGAAATACTGGGAGAGGAACTTAGCAGTAGTTACAGTTAAAGAATCAAAGAATTTTTAATGCATTATAAATGCTGGATTGGAAAACACCAATAAACGGTCTTCTCCCAAACACACACGTTCTTACTCCTGTGGTATGTTCGGATGTTCAATAACACCGCAGCGAAAATCTGAAGGAGATCCACGTGATAGCAGTGAGGGAGAGAAGGTAAAATCACCGCTGACTCTCTTCAACCTCCTAACTTTTGGACACGTATTTTCAGTCGCATGTGCTCACTGAGATGCATCACGCACACATCTCCTGCTTCAAACCGTGATTCTCCTTCAATAACAGAACGGGAGGAATCCCTCGTATTGAAGAGTTTCAAACTCCCACATGCAGGTGGATCTGGGTCTGGGAAGAACTAACGGACAGTTTCTAAAGCGGAGACTGATCTTGGGCCATTAAAAAGGAACTGAGGAACCAACTGCTTCCCTATTTGTTGTTCTTCTAATTGTTCTGCCACAAAGATTTTTAGGGAAGACCTTGACCGTGATGAATTCAGCAGAACAAATGCTTAAGTCTGATCCAGGAGTAAACATGCCGTACCACGGGAAGCAGGGTGGTGGTTCAAGCCTGCTGTTTACCTGGGATCGTAGTAAAGCACACTCCACTCAGAGTACTACGTACTGAAAAAAAATTGATGTAAACCACTCGTCTGAAGGACCCATCTGGAGCTCCTCATTTTAATTAAATTTAGCATGGAATCTAAAGCAAGATATTATTCCCATGGCTCATTTTAAAATGGGCATAACATTGCCTACTTTAAAAGAGGTTGTAAGATCTGGAGTAAACAGACACGTATATCCCTCCTGAGGGAGCTCTCCTCATTGATCAAGTATTGCTTTATATTTACAGAGTATTAACAGTTCCTAAAACAGAGGCTAATACACTAGAGTTTGAAACGTTAAAGAGATGGCCTGCTACGCTTCGGGAGACATTTAACCTCTTTGTTAGGGTTATCACAGAATGTTAGGGGTTGGACGGGCCCTCTGGGGGTCACACGGCTCAAC